GATGGCACAGAGTCTAGCTATTCTGATTGTGTTTGATCAATCGAATTGTATCTGAGAGGACTTACTAATAGGTAAACGATGGGTAAACATAATAGTGAGGTAGGAGAAAAATTCAAAAAATATATATATGCATATATAAATATGTGTGTGTTTGTTTATATGTATATGCAACCAGGAAGCAGATGAACTTTGGGCTTCTAATTAAATCTTGCCTCAGTACAATAACCTTTTGTTCTAACAGTATGGCATTATATGATACTCACCTTCCTGACACAATCACCCGAAGACAAAATGGGTGCATAAGCTAATGTGGTGAAGAAAGCTGATGGTGCCCGGATGTGGGAAACAGAAAGATTTCTCCCAAGTTGTCTCCCTCAAATATATGTCAAACTTAGCTACTTGCTACACGTGGTAAATGACTATACACTTGAAGGTCAACAGAAGTAGGTCAGAAGTTATTCTCCCTAAGGGTTATCAGCCATCTAGATTCTAGGTGTCCTCAAACTATGGCCCGCGGGCCACATGTGGCCCGTCGAGGACATTTATCCGGCACACCGGGTGTTTTTGCCCCATTTGTTTTTTTACTTCAAAATAAGATATGTGCAGTGTGCATAGGAATTTGTTCATAGGTTTTTTGTAAACTATAGTCTGGCCCACCAACGGGTCTGAGGAACAGTGAACTGGTCCCCTGTTTGAAAAGTTTGAGGACCCCTGATTCTAGAGCAATCAGACTATATAGTCTGTCTCACCCTAAGTAGGACCCACTCCCTTCTGATAAGGATAGTAGTAGATTGTTTCCCTGTAGGAGAGCCCAGGGAGATCAAGCCCACTCAAGGGCGTCCAAGGTTAGGCCACCATCATGAATCTAGGGTCCGCCCTTCTTGTCTCTTGTATACCCCTAGTTCCTCTCCCCTTCCTATTATGTGTACACCCCTAGCTCATCCCCTTCCTGTTATGCTATGCCCATTGTAGATTCCCCTCCTATTGCTTGTATTGCCTATTGTACAACCCCTTCCTATGACGTATGTCTTTACCTGTAATTAGGGGGTATGCACGCCCCAAAAGATACATAAACCTCGGCAATAAATCGCTCGCTCTCCTGCCCTTTCGTCTTCTATCCACACATGGACCACCAAGCGGGGCTGAGGTGATCATGCTACCATGAAATGTCTGACTTTATTTTACTCTCTCTATCCCATTTCTCTATGACTTTACTATAATAATCTTTATATATCTTAACTGTACAATTGCGCCTACCGAACCCATGATTAGTTGTGGGGGGCTGGCTTCCCCCACACCCTCTCGATGGGATTGAACAACAGAATTTTATGTGAACGGATATAGGATTGTGTAAGATATGGCAATAAGACTAATAAGAAATTTTTTTTAATCAAGACTTGTTTTGTGATAAACAAGAGGCCATCTAGCTCAGAAGCAATAAAGCCCACATGGAAGAAGCACACCAGCCGGTGTGATCATGAGGTGTCGAAGGGACCAGGTATCAGGCATCATCAGAACAAAAAATCTTACCATAGTGAATGAGGCGGGGAGTGCGGAGTGGAGACCCAAAGTCCATTTGTAGGCCACTGGACAACCCCTTTGAAGGGTCTCGGAGAGGAGATGAGTCAGTCAGGGTGCGATGTAGCAACAATGAAAAATACAACTTTCCTCTAGTTCCTAAATG